AGACAAGAGCCCAGTGGGGACCGTGTAACCCCACCCTTCAGCCTCTGTAAAATTAGGCTGATAAAAACCATAAATGCTGGTGACGTTTAAAATCAATTACCAGGAAGGAATATAGGAAATCTTATTAATTACTTTCCTATTTCATTATGCATAATAAAAATCATTTAGCTGCCTTATTTTGACCTTCTGCTCATGAAGAACCATTCTTATGAACTTGGACCTCAGGATTCACGTGTGTGGTTACTCATTAAATCCTTATCTTTTATAAACTCTATCAGACTTGACAAGACTGGAACTCAGTCACTCAGACCTAATACATTTCCTGGGTATTTCACATCAGGCAGCTAAGCTCTGCCTTACTGTATCATGCTGATGTCCTTCCAGTTTTGGCAAAAGGTTTCACTTTAAATTTAGCTTTATATTGAAACATAAATAAAAAGATACTTAATTTGTTCACCAGTTTTGCTTGCCATGGACACATACATACATTTGACCTTGGGAACACTAGTGGTAGTGTGTCATCACTACAAGTTGGCCATTGGGGGCTTCCTAAAGAAAAATTCAAGTTAGAAACAAATTTGGAGCAATTTTTGATTTAACCATTTTGCATATGCTTTTGTACATAGGAGCATGAGAAAGACTCCAGTGATGAGCCGGTCAAACATCCACATCTATATATATAAAAGGCTAATATGCTAAGTGTCCAACCATCTGATTGGTCACTATGATGCACACTGACCGCCAGGGGGCAGATACTCAGCACAGGAGCTGCCATGACAGGCACTGGCCATTTAAAGAGAAATGGCACTGCAGACCTGGTGCCCACAAAGCAACACTCGGCTTCCCCCAAGTGGGACACAGGCCCCGCCACCACCCCAGAGTGACAGCCCATCAAACCGCAGCCAACGCTGCTGAGACCCCATGGCACAGAATGCAGCCCACAGCCCAGCCCAGCCCAGAAACGGTCGCTGTGGGCGCCGGGCAATGACATCACATAGCAACACCCAGCTTTCTCTCCCTAGCGACTAGCCTCCTGGAGTTTCTTCAGCCCAGAAACACAACTTGCTTTATAGCCAGGTGCAAACATTTTACACTTTAACCAAATGTCTGTGAAGTGTTTTCCCATGCCTCATCTCATTTGATCCTCACAGAAGTCCTGGAGAAGATAGATAGGAGACTTAGTGGAATCCTATTTTCTTTTCATTAGCCAGAAAGTGGAGATTAAGAAAGCTGTTAAGCAAGTTTATTCTGTACCTATAAAAGGCTAAGTTGGCTTACACACGCACGATACATATAAAGCTCTCGCTGGTGCCAATCATATGTCATTGTTGATTGTGAATTTGGTTGACACTTCTATTATAGAGAAAGGGTGAATAGCGATATTAAAATATTTCTTCTAATTAATTTCCTTTCAATGTGCACGAATTCATCCACTGAGCCACTAGTTGATAATAATAGTTAGGATTACTGAGTTCTTACTATGTGCCAGGCACTGTTGTAAAGCCTCCATGCGTGTTAATAGTTTAATCCTCACGTGAGCCGTGTGGGATGAATCCTGTTTTGAGCCTCGCCTCAGGAGGAAACCGAGATGCAGAGGGCTGGGGTATCTCACTCCAGGTCATGCAGTGAAGAGTTGGTGGGGCCTGAATCTAAGTTACTCTGTAGAAGCCACGCACTTACCCATCTCTCTAGGGCCTGCTGTAGAAGCGTTGTGCTGTCACCACCACATTTGGGGGGAGTAGGTTCCTGTTCCCACAATTAACTTTCTGACTCCCATATTCCCTACCTGCTTCCCACCCACTGTGACTGGCAGTTCCACAGCTCCCTGGCCTTTCCTAAGTCTTGTGCCTGCTCCCCACCCTCCCCATGGCCCCCAGCATGAAGATTCTTAGAACTGGTCTACACCCCACCTGCCTGGTCCTAGGTCATCTCTGGCCATTCACCCACACTCATTCTCCTGTGCCAGTCCCACTCAATTTACTTCCATCCCTCGACTCTATCTGCCAAAAGCTCTCTTTCTGGAGGGCCTGTTCATGAACTGTTGCAGTAGCAACCACAGCCTGACAACAGTACCTCAGCACCTGGCCCTGCTGGCTTTCATCGAGCTGACCTCTCTTCGTCTTGCAGTTCTTAACATGAAGGGCACTTCATCTAGGAGCCCTTCCCTAACCTCCAAGTCTTTGCAAGGTTTCCCTCCTGTGCTTTCCAGGGCACCATCACGTCCTCATCCTGCCTGCTGTCTAGATCCCTCTTCAGGTGATAGCCCCGCACAGATAGGGGTCGTAGCTGGTGTGTTCCAGCTTGTTCTCCCAGTACTCATCACAGTGCATGGTACATAGGAGGTGCTCAGTAAGTGATGAATGAGCAGTATCACAACAGTCACAATTCATAGTAGTAACAACAAACCTCGGGGATATGCTCCCCAAGGCAGCGTCAGAGCTCGTGACTGCAGACCTTGGCGCTAATGCTGCACCCTCCCTGGTGGTGGGCGTGTTCCTGCTTTGAAGCGCTTCAACATCATGCATGTCTCAGTGGGACTCAGGCGGCTGCCCTTCAGGTCTGCTGGCTCAGCCTTTCCCTGCTTTAGCTGTTACAGCTCCAGGAAAGGCTTCCTTCACTGGCGCTTACAGGTCTGGAGCTGCACAGGTCTGGAGCTTCACTGGCTCTTACAGGTCTGGAGTTACCAAGGACACTTCGTGGGTTTGAATGCTGAGAGCAGGGCCTCTTTGGCTTCCTTGCCTTTATGCTCGGTGGCGTTCCTCAGGGAGCAGCAGCTTCAACTATAGCAGCCCCGAGCCAGCAGCATCTCAAAGGGAACACTCTTCTGGGGCCAGGACCAGCTGCTGGCATAAAGGAAAACCTCTCCCTTCAGTGGCAGCTTCTCATTCTCTGCAATAAAAAAAAATGTCTCTCCTTCTGGTCTCCCAGGTTGCCGTGTGCAGTGGCAGCACATGCTCCCTCGGGAGTCAGGGGAGGGACCATTAGAGCAGCTCCAGGGACTGGCCTTGTCATGCACCTCTGTGATGACCAGGACTCTAAGGCCAGAAACAGGACTTTTCTCTGGTTAGCCCACAAAGGTCGAGTTTTTCAACTCTCCCAAGGGGAAATAGCAAGATCAATTCAGTGTTGTCTGTGACAAGAGCCTGAGAAATTCATATAAAGTTGCTTTTACACTTCCGTTGTATTCTAGTTCATGTTCCCAATTCAAGATTATGCATGTAATTAGTTATAACTGTAATTGGGATGTGCATTTTTGTTTGAGGGAAAAAAGGAAGACCGTAGTTAACAGTGAGCATGTTAACTATCTCCTTTGGGGTTAATTAGCATCTAAAATTACTTATCTAAGTCTTCTGATTCCCACCTGGGATTTAGCTATACTCAAGGATGTCTCTAGGTGTCTTAAAGGACTCTTGCCAAATTCTTAGAAAGTTGACTTAAAAACATACCGTAGAGTATTTTTATGAGGAGAGAGGAAATGAACAAAGATTAAGTGATTAAATGGTGGTGTAATTATAAAATGATTAAGGATTATTGATTAAATAGTCCCTAGGTTGTTTGATTAATTGACTTTAAAGCATTTATTAAATATATACGGAGTGTAAGAAACCATGCAGGTGCAGCAGTGTAGACACGTCACCTCTTGATGCAGTGTTTCCATGATGGCTTTTCATTACCACCTTATGCTGGAGCTTAAACTCTCCAAGACAGGCCCCTGTTTTGTTCTTAGTATAGGGTGGGGCAAAAGTAGGTTTACATTTGTTCATATGGAAAATAATACAATAATAATAATACAAGAATAAGCTCTGTGTTTTCCATACTCACAAATGTAAGCCTACTTTTGCCCATACTGTATAACATGCACCAGGCCTAAAATAAACATTTATTGAATAAATTATAGTTACCCCCTTCAATACATTTGCAGTCTGGTTAAATTCTAGTAAGGACTTCTGCCCCGGCTGGGTGGCTCAGTTCCTGGGAGTATCGTCCCAGACACCAAAAGGCTGCAGGTTTGATTCCCAATCAGGGCACTTACCTAGGTTGGGGATTTGATTTCCAGTCAGGGCATGTTACTGGAGGCAACAGATAGATATTTCTCTCTGACATCAATGTCAGTCTCTCCCTTCCTCTCTCTAAAATCAATAAAACATATCCTTGGGTGGGGATTTTTTTTTAAATGTTTTAAATAAGATTTGCTTCTTTTTCAGAAATGTGTTGATTGCGGTCTGGACAAGCTCCTCATTATTTCCCCAACAGATAGTTCTAACTACCAAGAGCAGGGACCTACACGCCTGTTACAGCTGCCTAACAGTGTAGCGTACATTAATGTGTTATTTCAGCCTTCAGTGAGAATTGAAAGATGTAGGTTAATTGTCCACTTAACCAACTTTTTTTTTTTTTTTAATGAGGATTTTAGGAGAGGATAAAATTTGCGTAGACTGCAGCTGGATGAAAGCTGAATGTTTTTGCTATGAATATCTGGATCCAACAGAAAATAGTTGATAAATTTTAATCAAGGGAGGTTTTAATTACCCCTGTGGGTGCATATTATGGTCTCACTTTTCACTATGTCAGGGGACATAGGTAAAATGGTCCATCCTCTAAATCCCTTACAACTAACTAGACCTACTATTGTATATGTCAGTGACTGGTATTGAGAGATGAAAACAAACCCAAGAAATGCAGAGGGGCCACCATCATTTGGCTCTGCTGCTGTCACAGAGGAGGAAATTTTTAATGCTCATTTCAGCCCTCAAAGGTAAAATGTGCAGCCATCATTTAAAGAAAACATGATGTGAGTAAACGGTGTTGCTTGGAAGCCAGTGTCCCCCTGAGGCTGCGCATCTCTGAAAAGATGGAAGTCAGTAGTAAAATATGACATATTCACATTTTCACTTTACTTTCAGCTTTTCAGGAGCAGGTCCTGCATGGAGAGCAAGAATGGAGCTGTATTTCAACCAAAGGCGGTTTCAACCTGTGCTGACTGTAATTTTTATCCATAGGTTTGAAGACATACCTGATAGCGGGTAAGAGAGCGAAGGAGTCTCATTGCACCTGTTCAGAGGCCTTGCTTTCTGGCTTTGAGGTCATTGACGGCTCACAGGTGTCCTCAGGTCCTAGGGGACAGGGGACAGCATCACCAGGGAGTGTCAGTGACTTGGCGCAGACTGTCAAAACCTTTGATAACCTTAAGGTTAGTTTTTTTTCCTACTTCTAAAATTTTATAATAATCTGTAGTACAACGTGTAAAATAATAAACAGCCTTTGGGTCTGTCGCAGATGACTTGGGATGCCCTTCAATTTGGTTTTGTGATTTTTTTCATGTCGTATGAAAGAAGCAGCATTTTGCATTTTTAATCTTTTCTTTTTTGACATATTCTGCACTTCCATTTTCTTTCTGCATTGCATAAAGATGCTTCTCACTTGAGTTATTATTTCCTTTTCCTGCGACCTATGATGTCTTTGGGGATTTCTAAAAGCTAATGATAAATGATAGTGAAGGTGATTCTCCTCACGTTTTGCTGGAGAGCTAGGTGGTCTCTTATTTCAGAGACCACTTTCTCAAGTATTTCTGTGTCTCCTGAAATCGAATGTTTTCTAATTATTTTACATTTTGTTGGTGTGGGTGAACCTTATGATGTAGCTAGCTGAAGGAGTGCAGGCTTGCCAAGAATATTACAGTATTTCATTATTGGAACAGAGATGTCCTGGTGGCTGTCGAGAAGTACCCATTTCTGTCATAGTGAACTAAGGAATTAATGTGATGGACCTTGGGCACATGAACTCAGCTTAGGTTATGAGCTGGTCCTCAGTTTTCACATTTGACTTAGTTCTTCCACTTGTACCTCTTGTTTATTTTTACAGTGTAAGTATTTGCCATTTCCGTATTTTTTAAAAAAGAGACAGTTAAGCCCTAACCGGTTTGGCTCAGTGGATAGAGCATTGGCCTGCGGACTGAAGGGTCCCAGGTTTGATTCTGGTCAAGGGCATGTACCTTGGTTGCAGGCACATCCCCAGTAGGGGGTGTGCGGGAGGCAGCTGATCGATGTTTCTCTCTCACCGATGTTTCTAACTCTCTATCCCTTTCCCTTCCTCTCTGTAAACAATCAATAAAAAATATATATATTTTTAAAGAGAGAGACCGTTAAAACATATACCCACTTCACTGTTTTGTGCTCTCAAATATTAACCTTAATGATATATTGGTCAGGATGATGGCCTCTTGTTATGGCTTTAATCCAGTCTGTTCCTTCTTATCCACATTCATTAACCGGTTTGAAATCTAGCTATGTTGGCATTTAAGCCTAACAGGCACCACACTGTGACAAACAGCTGGAGTATCCAGATTATTTCCCTGTGTCAGAATCCACCAGTTACTTTATGTGATTATTACATTCAGGCTTATTGACAGCACTCATATATCATTTCATTGTGTGCTTTGTTAACTTAGTGCAGGGTTTTTCAGCCTCAACACTATAAACATTTTGGGCCAGATAACTGTGACAGAGGCTGTCCTGTGCACTGTGAAATGTTGAACAGTGTCCCTGGCTTCTACCCACTAGGTGCCTGAGCTCCCCCTCCTCCCATGGTGACAACTAAGACTGTCTCCAGCTATTGCCCAATGTCCTTGAGGGGGCGGAAGGGGGGGTAAAATCACCCCAGCTATAGAGCCAGTAAGGTAGGTATTAGATCTTGTCTTCCCCATACTCTCTGTGACACGTGCATAACAGCTAATGTATCTGAAATTTCCTTGATGCCTGTGCACTTTCAAAACAGCCTCTTTGCTGGGCTGACGTCGTGCAGCAGTCAGAAAGGAGCTCTGGGTGCATCGAGTGTCAGTGAGTGTGGCAGGGAAGAGTCACGTCAGGGAGGAGCATAGTACGGTTTCATTATCTGCAGAGAAACAGTTTCCTCCAGGCTTCAACCTGAACTGTATTTAAGTAAACAAATCGAGCTCAAAGCCAAAATAAGCGATTTGTTGTATTTGCTGCCATTTTAGATGTTGTGCATGTGAGTTTCAATCCATTAGGGAATGCATTTGCTGACTTCGATTTTTTTTAAAAAATCTGAGTGGACAAAAACAATATATTTAACATATTCTATTACCTTATATAAGTTTTCCAAATCATGATTGAAAGTTTTCTGAAAATCTTGTGATCTATTAAAGTTGCCCATGTTTGCCAAAGGAATTTGAACCAAAAAAAAAAAAATCTTTGGGCCCCTTCTGGAAGGGATAGATGAATTGGATCTTGAAATATAATTTCTGGGGTATTTTGATGGTGTTGGGGGAGCGGGGGGGTCATAGGACACCATGACTAGGGTTGTCCCAGAAAGTTAGAATTACAGTTGGACTGGAAGGAGCAGGAAGAGATAGAAGACCTGGTCTTCTCTTCAGACTTCACTTTGGGAAGTCTTTGCCACACTCTTGCCTTCTCTGCTTCTAGTGCCTGAGGTGAGGATCAGGTGAGAGCAGGCGTCTGTGAGTGCTTTATAAATTACTAGAAGCCCGGTGCACAGTGGGGTCCCTTGGCCTGGCCTGCACCCTCTCACAATCCGGGACCCCCTGGGGGATGTCAGATAGCAGATCCAGACAGGAGGGAGCCCAATCCTGTACGTTGAGCATCTGTCCGCTGGTGGTCAGTGTGCGTCATAGTGACTGGTCATTTGGTTGCTTAGGCTTTTATATATATAGTCTAGAGGCCGGGTGCATGATTCGTGTACCAGTGGGGTCCCTCAGCCTGGCCTGCAGGATTGGGCTGAAACCAGCTCTCTGACATCCCCCAAGGGGTCGCGGGTTGTGAGAGGGTGCAGGCCAGGCTGAGGGACCCCACCGGTGCATGATTGGGGCTGGGGAGGGACACAGGAGGTTGGCTAGTGGGGAGGGACTGCAGGCAATCAGCCGGACCCCAGTAGCAAGCTAACATACCCACTGGGACCCCTGGTGGTCAGTGCATGTCATAGTGAGCGGTTGAGTGGTCTTAGCATATCTTTAGCATATTATGCTTTGATTGGTTGAATAGACGACTGGACAGATACTTAGCATGTTAGACTTTTATTATCCTATATAATAAAAGCATAATATGCAAATTGACCAAACTGAGGAATGACCAGTTGGCAGAGGGGTGGGGCTGGCGAGCAGGTGGTGCCAGGCCAGCCAAGGTGCATGCCACTGGGCAGAGGGAGGGGACAGGTGATGCGGGGGGTGAGTTGGCAGTGACCAGTAGTGGCGGAGGGGTGATTGGGGGAGCAGGGCCGGCCACTCACCGGCCAGCACCGTCTCCTGATCAGCCCGCCTGGTCACCTCCCACAGAGGGTGGCCACTGGCGGTGGTGGTGGGGTAATGGGGGGCGGGACTGGCTGCTCGCCAGCAGGCACCATACCCTGGTCAGCCTGCTGGGTCGCCTCCCACAGGGGGAGGCCAGACTGCAGCTTAGGCCCGCTCCCCCTGGGGATTGGGCCTAATCTGTCATTCAGACATCCCCTGAGGGCTCCCGGACTGCGAGAGGGCGCAGGCTGGGCTGAGGGACCTCGGAGTGCATGAATTTTTGTGCACTGGGCCTCTAGTATAGGATAAGCACTGAGTAACTGAGTGAATCAATATGAGCTATTAAAAAAAATGGAAAAAAAAAATATGAGCTATTAGCCTAAACTTGAAAGGCAGAAAATTGAGGTCTGCCTTAAAGATTATATAGATTATAATCTGACATATAAGATGATTCCCTCAAGTAACAGTTTCTAAACAATAGAAATGTGAAATACCAGTTGCTTGCTCATTCATTTTTTGAGAAGGTTTTTCCTCTAAACTTGTTACTGCCTCATACATATGTCATTGACTTGTTGCCTTATATTGTCTGTACTATGGTTAGATCTTCTCATTAGCTGGAATCACAGACTAGCTCCTCCTAATCCTTTTCCAGGGTCTGTTGACTCTTCCTGCCAACAGGCTTTGATCTCCTATCATCTCATCTAGCCAGAGTTAGCTCATGTAGGTTTGTCACAGACCCCACATTTTCCTCCTACTTTGGTATAAGGCAGTGTTTCCTCTCTGTTCCCTTGAGCAGTACTTTCTCTGGATGGAAATAGGTGTCAAGTGTAAAAAAAAAGTGTTCTGTGGTCAGGTAAATTTGGGAAGTTCCAGGTTAAACAACATTGAAAAGGTTTCTTTACTGCGGGACTTCTCAGTGCCTTTAGTATGCTAATATGCATACAGTACTTCTCTCTCCAGAGATGGATGTGGTATGCAGCATTCTCAGGCCTCGTTGACCACAGATTTCTTTTTTTAAGCTGCACCTTTTGGAGAAATGCTTGTCTAGTGGAAGGAGTTTCATGCAAGAAACAAGAAATTAGAGAAAAGGTGTTCAGTAAATATTCATCAAATGAATACATGCAATCTTGGTCCTGTTGCTCCTCTTACCTGCAGTGCTCCCCACTTCCCTTTCCCTAAAAACTCCTCTTTTCCTTTCATGGGTCACCTTCATTGCAGTTTTTTATGACTCCTCTACCTAATAATGCTATAACATTATAGCTACAAAATATACAATATTTAATATTTGCCTTATGTTTTTGTTATACGCCTTCCTGTGAATTCTTTGAATGCAGGCAGGGCCCATGTGTTTAAAAAAACTTATATTTTCCCCAAGTGTCCAGCATAATGCCTGGCATGTAGTAGATAATGACCATTTTCTTTTGGCTTAAATTTTTAATTCTTAAGTGACACACAGGAAGATAGAACTCTGTAGAGGTAGCCTAGAAGGCCTAAACTGAGAAGCTTGAGCAGAACTAAGTAGAACCAAGGTAATGTTTAAGAGTCATTTGTTTTCCCTCCTGGCACACCTGTGCTATGTGTCAGTAAGTTATTTCTCAGTACATACCTGGGGAATTCTTATCTAATATTTCATAAAATAGTCTGAGTATTATGATATCCTACCAAGAAACTAATCATGTCAAAGGACAAGGGCTTTGGTCCTGAGGTCGTAGGTCAGAGAGAACCCTCTCACAACCAAGCATTGGCTTCTTGACTGGCAGTGAAAGTTTTTCATCAGGAAGCCTTGGCATTGCAAAATGGGGGGCTGTGAGGTACACTGCTAGCACCGTGGCATTCGGCTCTCTGAGCCTGAGCTTCCAAAAATAGCCTGGGATTTGGGATGGGGGAAGGAGGAGTCAAGGAGGAAGCCAGGCCCTGGCTGGTGTGGC